TTTAGGGGAGCGGTGGGTGAGCGGTCCCGGGACGGTTAGTTGGAGTTAGTAATAGCAAGGTCAGCGGCTATTCAACATACTAGTATGTACCTTGGAATGGAAAGTAAACGGGGGGTGGTTGATAAATGCAACTTCTTCGCCCTATACAGAGTATCCGAGCCTCATAACCTAACCCACGCCTGACTTAGCGCCGAGGGGTCCGGATATCCCGAATAAGACAATTATGCCGCACGAGCACTACACTCCATGAAATCCTTGAGGTTCGTAGCTTGAGTTCGGCCGGTAGAAGCGGCCCAGTCTTCCAACGCAACAAACCAATCAACGAGCGAATAAAGGAAAGAGCCGATGTATAACGAAATTGAAGCAAAGTGGATCCATCGTGAAAATATCCATCACATCCAGTGCCCGACAACACGCCGCTCCCAAGGCCCGCAGGCGGCGGAAAGCGCATGCCTACCAGCTGTCACTCGGACTTCAGGAAATTAACCAATGAGTGAATCAATTTAAAAGAAAACTCGCTGAAGCTCAGTCAGAAAAACGGTACCTCAAATCCCCGACCACAGTATTCCCCGTTTCATACAGGGTATCATTTGATCCTGAGGGGGTCATGTATGAGACCGCTGCTAGCCCTCTTCTCTCATTTGCCATCGGTACTCGTACGCTTCTGGTGGCGCTGGAGATTAAAGTAGCAGTGGTACCCCATGTCCGTTAGTCTAATCACGAGCAGCTAGCAGTAAATTAACCTTTCGAGTATAGTAGCGGAATTCTAAGTAAAAAAAAGGTTGGCTCTGGCAGGGACCGCATCCGAGCAAGTGGCGAATGAAAGAAAAAGGGATTTCCTTACTCGAGTACAGGATCTAGTAATCTGGCTATGTAATAACACTCCGTGCAGAGCGGCCAAAATATACAGCAGTACCGTCCGAACTCACACTTCTCACCTAATTGCAGTTCACTCCCAGGTTGAAATAGGGAATGCTAGCCTCTCTGACGTTCTTGCCCCCTCAAGGCAAAGAACAGGGTCAGAAGCGTGCGTTCAAAAAAAAAACCCCCCCATCACCATATTATCACATTATTATTATCAGTACAGGTATCACAGAATCCCGCGTCATATTATAGGCCAGAAAAGACTAAAAGATCTTAACCTCCAAAAGCATGCAACACATGCCAGAACACCTCCTAACTACCCTCTCTTCCACTGTCCACGTCCTAGCGGAGTATCTATTATCCCGCCAAACTCGCTCACACAACGACCAATCACCATCAGTCTCTCAAACCCAGTCCTCCTGCAAAAGCCGATTAGATTAGCGAGGCTTCTCCACTCCCCCAGATGCGCTCTCCTGCCCCTACATCACTAGAATCCACTTTCCCAATATTCCATTATCTGTTTTCCATATAATTTGATGGTAGGTTTTTCTATCTCAACTCCCTAAGTTACATCTTAATTCATTTTGGTGGTGAGGATCATAAGGATAGAAAGATGCCGCACTCAGGATCTTGTCTAAGCCGCAAAGTTGAAACGAACTTCGAGACCACAATAATTTCATATGATGGACCAAGCACGATGAGTACTGTACCGGCATTCTGTATTGGGCTGCATGCGGTCTATTGTGCTAGTCCGGGGGCAGGTGATGAATTCATGGCACGGAGAAGGAGTAGTTACCATCGTTTGACCACGGGATCCCGGAATCCTGGAAGTAGCATGCATTCCAACCTGAGGCCACAAATCAGTAGTGAGAGAGATGAAAGGGATAGAAGAATTGATCAGGAATGGCTAGCAATGACTAAAATATGTTTTGGTTTCTCTACAATCATACTTGTTCTACTGAATCCAGTCGCTCTGGCTTTTACAAAGCTACCGGTATGGCACCTCTCTCGCCGCAGGAGTACCATTGCTAACCCGTCTCTGATCCCTGATCTGTATTTTGCAGTACCTGTTACAGACAACAGGTACTCTACCCGAGCATTCGGATATTTTCGTATTTTGCATGGGCGCACGGATGTGCTCAGACTGTGACCCATATAAAATCACCACGCTCTACTCGAGTACAGTGCTCAAGGATCTGAATGATCCCCGAACTATCCCTGCTTTCCTACTAAATGTTGGGCTACTTGCTGCCTGTGCTCGTACCGGTAACAGGATACCGGTACTTATACTCTCACCATAAATTCATAATCGACCCTTGTACCTCTCGCAGAATGCCCTCAAATCCGGACTACGCTTGCCCAAGGTGGTACATACACTACCTTACCTCCGAGACACAAGGGCACTAGCTACCCGCTACGAGTACGAGTGCGGCCGATAGATTTATTCGTCACGTGAGTCTGATAAGAAAATTTTAGTGCACCTTCTGGCTGCGATGCGTTCTTCGATAAGGCACGTGATGAATATATTTATCGGCCGCACTCGTACTTGAATACCTAACCAGCTTTAGCGCAGTATCTCCTGCACTGGGCTCCATCCAAGAACAAGGACTCCCTCCTAGATAATCCGAGCGTAGAACTGTAGAGCGACCGTTCTCTCTTTTTCCTCCCTCCAGGGAGTCTTATTGCCTTATCCAAGGTATGATACACCCCCCGATACTTCTGTAGTACACAGAACCTCAGCTCATCTATTGGACCGAGAATCCGCGACAAGTACGGCGGGCTGACCATGAGGGGGGGGGACGCTAGACCACTATGTGAGGCAGAGTGACCTGAAACGGTCTCACGTCGGTTGCGCCACAATACCCCCGACGACAAGTATTACTCAAGGTCCGGGTCCCTCGGCACACTAAGGGCCGAAAACCTCAAATCCGAAGGTACAAATCAGACTGCAATGCTGGGAAAAGTCCCTTCTCCGTCCGGCCTTGGACCAAAAATCACCAGTACGTGACAACGCCCTATCGGAAAATGCATCCATTTGCTGGTCGGTTGGTTGGTTGGTTTGCAGTCGGCCGGTTGGTCGGTTGCCCCCTGATGTCGGAAGGACACAATAGGGATATTCCCCGTCAGCGTGCTATAGCAGCGGGGTTTCTAGACTATTAACATATCATGGCCTTGCCCCTGTTATAATAAGATGTCATACCGATGCTGGCATCACCGATCCCCGACTATTCGGCCGTGGCCTTGACGTCAATGGTACGTGGGCGCGAACGGACCGCGTTCTTTCCCCTCCGCTTCTGGCCTCAATCGGACACAAGTTCGATACCGTACTCGCGATTCTCTGGTATTCGCTGCATGGGGTTCGGAGCTTGGCTTCTTGATTTACCTTAGCTAAGGGAGGAGCACCCGTATCGTATGATTGTCCGGTCCATACGGCATTCTGTTCCTCACGACTCTGCCCCGACTTTGGGCGGCGGGACAGAGGTGCAAGTAATAAGCCCGGTGCTAATGAAACTATCTCATGTGTGATACGCAGATACTAGCCACGTTTACCCCATATCCCAAAGGGAGGTTTACGTCTGTGTCCTGACGGTCCCCTCCCGGATAGACCACCGGCAAGCTACGCTCATGTTGGCAATGTTCTCATACATTTCCGAATACCACCAGCCCTTGAAACGCTTTGCTGGCCCTCTCTTTCTTTTCATAGTGTAAAATGGTTTGTGACAAAAATTTACTACATCTTAGAGGCATATCCAAAAACACTTACCCATTAGGCCCTTACTGACCTCTTACCGCCAATAGGTATACGAGCAGTCCCTGAGACACAAGGCAGTGCACAAGAATTCCGCGAACAAGAGTGTATACGGTGGATTCTAGCAAAGGTGTCTCCTTAAGAGAATAACAAGTCGGCAGCCTTGAAAGTTTCCTCTCCCTCTTCGGCATTTATCGTATCGCTCCGACCAGCCATGCCTTCCCCCCCCCCCCCACCAATAACGAGTACGATAGTGAACCCGACAAATACCCACCTCATCAGTGCTGTACGGAAAACCCCCAGAATACCAAATCTACCTACCTACCTACCTAACCCACCCCAAAAACACGTGAAGGAATGCTCTAGTTAGACATCCCCTGCCCATGGATTCAACACTCCCATCCATCTCCCTACACAGATGCTGAAAAAAGGTCACCCAAAACAAAGCGAACCGAAAGAGCGGGATTTTTTTTTCTCACTCCCTCCATTGTAAAGTTCCAGCATCCCCCATCCCTTGACTCCCACGCATCCAACCCCGAGTACCCCCGAGTGACAATCCATGACTGGGTGAGCAAGTCTCACTCTCACCCCACCCTCATACCTATTAGCCACAAACAAACACCTCCCACACGCTCCCCCTCACCCCACCCCCCCTCAGGATCAGTAATCCCGGACGTGCATAATCGTTTTGCCCCATCTGCCATGGAGGTGGCCATGATCGTATCGCATGAGATTTACAGGACATGTACTCGTACAGGTTATTTAGGGGGTGGTTGCACAGCCCCGCTCTGCAGTGAACGACACAGCAACTCGAGCCGCTCTACGTGCCCTATTCGATGTATAATATATATACAAGTACAGGTATGCAGTAATAGAGTGCGTTGAGATGGAAACGATACTGGAAAGGTTATTCTTTCCGATTATATCACAATACTACCATTCCCGGCTTTCCCACCATAGCCTATGGTTTTCGCTCATGTACTCGAGTACTATACTGTACCTTACTTAATCCCCCCTGCACACTCTTAAAAAACAAAAAAAAAAACGCGAGGTGAAAGGCGGGCGTAGGGCTGGTCCGTTTTCCCACGAACATGGAAAACTTATGTATAAGGTAATCACGAACCAATCCAAGTACCGACGGCTCTCCAGACCGCCTATCCATCTCGTCTCGGACTGTAGAATTAGGGTACTGATAAATTTGGCATGACTTGACCGCTCACGAGTCGGCCCGATTTGAATCGCCCGGTGGGTGAGGGGGCAGGGATGGCTTGCTTTCTTGAATGGGTGGATGGATAGTCCAGGTCTAGAGCATGCATGCTAACAATGAGTAAGCTCCCCCATGTGCGAGGAGCGGCGAATGATGGGCGGTCAGAGCGAGGCTATGGGTACAATCCAATGCAGTGCTTTTATAATTTTATTATATTACGGTACAAACCATGTCCCATATAAGACTCGGTACGAGTGCCGAAGTGTCAATGAACGGGCAGGGACATTGTGAAAAAGCACATCAAGCACGAGAAAAATCCCAACCAAGGAACAGACCCAACAAACCAGGCAACTGGTCATCCACATCAGCTCCCATATTCCGCAAAGAATACACAGAAATAGCTACAAGAGAATCGAGCAATAAGAAAAGAAAAGCCAGGATAACAAAAGAAGGCCTTGAAACAATTTAATCCACGGGAACTAACAGCGATGCTCCCCGTCATCACTATCGCCACCCTCACTATCGCTCTCACCATTATTCCTACCCTTCCTTCCTCGCTTCCCCGGTTTAGCAACAGCCTTAGCAGCCTTCTTCTGCGCCGCAATCCCAGCAGTCCGTCTCTCGCCAGCACCACTATCCGCCAACTCCTTCGCCGTTGCCAAGAATTCCGGGTCGTCGCCTTCTACTCCAACGAGGGATTCCAGAAGTTTGATTTCCTCTGCCCATGTCTTTTCCTCTTCCATAGGGGTCTCGAGGATCAGTGGGAGGCTCTCGAGGCGCTCGTCGTTCATGATTATACGAAAGGGTTCGAGGCCTAGGAAGCCGAGACCTATGTTCTGGTGGAGGTCTCGCTTTGAGGCAAGGGGAGCTTTGGAATCATTGATGTGAAGAGCCATGAGGTATTTGCGGCCGATTATTCGGTCAAAGTTGGACATCACTTCGTCGTAGGATTCTTGGGTGCGGATATCGTGGCCGGCCGCCTGTGGGAAGGAACCAACGAGCGTGTCAGTGATGGATAACCGAGCAGCGATCAGCTACGTATAAACTTACGAATAAATGACACGTGTCAAGGCAAACACCCACACGATCCTTATCCTTAACCTTCGCAATAATGTCTCTTAAATCCTCAAATTTGCCACCAATGACATTCCCAGCTCCGGCCATGTTCTCCAATACTGTGATGCAGAACTTAGTTTCGGAGTGCGCTTTGTTGAGCGCCCTCGCCACACGACTAAGGGATTCCGAGCGCGAAAGCCCAAGCGTTGACCCGGGGCTTAATCCGATATATTAGTAGGATTCAAAACATCCGTAAGCGCCCTGAAATCGCTGGGGATGGCTTACTGAAAATTGTACAAGCCAATGCCCAGCCTTTCGCAACGCTTCAGGTCGTCAAGGAAACAGTTGTATGCTTTCTTCGCCTTCTCGGCGTCGCCGTTGGCGAGGTTTATCAAGTAGGATCCATGGGGGAGGACATGTCTGCAACTTCCCATTAGGACCAATTATCTGTCAAGCCTGCGCGGCGGGAAAAACTCCATGTAGAAATTTTCCTCACGGTAGACAGCGCTTCCATGGGAGAAATTGGAATGTAAAAGCCAATACGAGAGAAAGGAGGAGAGACAAACTTCCTAGGATCAAACCCATTCTTTTCACAGCCGGCTCGGAAAGCCTTTGCATCCGCTTCTTTCAAATCTGCGCTCACCCACTTCCTCTGACTCTTCAAGAACAGCGCAAATGCATTCCCCCCTATATTCAAACTATTGGTGATGGCATGTTGAACACCTATCGTAGCCCAATCAGCGCCAAACAAAGACCCACCCAACCACCAGCCAAAGAAAGAGAATACATACCCCCAGACATACTAACATGAGCCCCAACCATCATCTTTACCCCCGCCGTCCTCGCAGCGGGAATCATAACTTCGTCCTTCCTGACGCGGGCCTTCTTAATAACTCTCGTCGTCGTCTCCTCCTCGTCAACAACCCCCCTCTTCTTTGTCGAGGCAGCAACAGGCTTCGTCCCTACTTCCAAAGCCGCGCTCGCAGACTCAGCGATAGTAGTAGCCGCTGTATCCTGACTCGCCAACGCAGCAAATGTCTGAGTATTGTGCACGGAAACCCCGAGATCGTCGTCCTCTGCTTCTTCCACCTCATTTTCCTCGCGCTTAGATAATTGCGACAAACTCTCCTCTTGTTGGTTCTTTTTTTTAGCGGCCGCGGCTGCTGCACGGGTGGTTTTCGCCATTCTTGCAAACATTCTCGTAGCTCGGACTGACCGGGTCGAGGGTTTTAATTCGGTATCGGTAGGTAATGAAGGCAAGGCGATGAAAATGTAGTGAAATGCGGGGAGAGTAGGGCGTCTTTCTCCAATGTTCTCTTTTTTTTCGGCCCGGTGGCAGAGAAGGGTCGAGGGACAGGTTGGTCCGCGGCCTTTTCTACTTGCTTGCTTCCGAAAGGGCCGAGAGAACGCGTATGTAGGAGAGAGATCGGAACGCGTTTTTTTTTTTGGTGGATTATGTAAACTGCGCCGGAATAACTGGCGTTTACCGAGAGTTTCTAACTTGCGGGTATTTGTAGATGGCGTCTGCTGGATGCCGGACCGGCAGCACGGTATGGATGATAAATTTATCATATGGTTCCGGCCGTCTATACTGTGAACCTCAGATTTTGCAACGGGGGACGGCTTGGCATTCAGCCACAAATTAAAAAAGTGGAGCCTAGTTTGATTCCTCCAGTGTTCATA